ATCGATCAACTGCCTCTTACACACCCCCTACTGGGGATATGCCCGCAACCAAGGTACATGCCCTTGACCGGAATCGAACCCTGGACCCTTCAGTCCCCAAGCCGACACTCTATCCATTGAGCCAAACCGGTTTCGGCCATTGCTTGCTTTTTTAAACCCAATCATCAATATGTGTTCAGTCTTTGGCATACATATAAACCATTGTAGAATCTTGTCCCTATCTATTACTGCTATTGTCTCATGCAAAGATATTACCTCTCTTGAATTTCATATTTGAATATTGGAAAATGTTTTAGTTCTCAGTAAACTTTTCCTCACCTTGATGCCCTAGCTTATGCTATTCCTTCTTCCTGGAAAGCCTTTCTATAAAATTACATCTCATGGTTAATTTCTTAGTCTTCATAGCACAGTGTTTTAAAAATATTTTTTTAATTAATTTCAGAGAGGAAAGAGGAGGGGAAGAGAGATAGAAACAACAACGATGAGAGAGAATCATTGATTGGCTGCCTTCTGCATGTCCCACACTGGGGATCAAGACTAACTGGGAATCAAACAGTGACCTTCTCGTTCATAGGTTGATGCTCAACTACTGAGCCACACCAGCCCAGCAATAGTTCAGTTTGAGTGTCTCCCCTGGGTCTCCAAGTTGAACTTGTTACCACCCACCAAAACTCACATAGTTGCTACTATGTGCATTTCTTTGATCACACTTAGGATAATTATTATACCATCTTATATGATAGATGATCCCAAATAATAACAGTTGTTGATGGCAATAAAAAGTCTTATTGCTGCCTTTCTACCCCGTATTATCTTTAATTAGAAATTCTCTAGGACATGGCCAAAATTATGTTCTCAATAAAAGCAGAATTTTCTCAAAATTTTTGGTAGAAGTTTTCTCTTCTATAAGCCTAAATGAGGATGTTCCATTTTTTCCTCTTCTACCCAAGCCAGACCAGTATCACACCAGTTCTCAATTCATGCTCTTGTCCAACATCATCCAATTTAGTCCCATGTCCTACCTCATCTGCTTTCCTGGATTGGAAGCCATTGAACATTGGATTTTCATCCCCTTTTTTCCTTATGTAGCTGGTGGCCATCCCAGGAAATTCTTTCATTCGGATAATTATTAAGATCAACCCTAATCTGCACATACCCATGAACTATTTACTATCCTTTCTGGCTGTCATAGACTGGGACTGTCAGTATTCACCTTGCCTACTAGTTTGGGAATGTTTTGGTTTAACTCCCATGTTATCTACTTTGAAGCCTGTCAAATACAGATATTCTGCATTACTCATGTTTTGTCATGGAGTCTGTCCTCAGTGCTCCTTGTCATGTCCATTGATTGCTTTGTGTCCATCTGTCATCTGCTGAAATACTTGGTCATTATCACTGGCCAGTGAGTGGTCAGAGCAGGCCTAGTTGTCATCCTCAAGATACCTCCAGCCCTTCTTCCTATTATTGTACTTTTAAAGTCTTTTCCCTATTGTGGGCCTTAAGACCTTTCTCATTCTTTCTGTTTACATTAGGAGGCCATATGCTTGGCCTTCATAGACAATACTCTCAACACTGGGCTGACACTGAGGGTGTTCACTGTGATGCTGGACCTAGTACTCACTACACTGTCCTGTAGATTTATCCTAAACTCAGGGATAAGATTGATCTCCCCAGAAGAGTGGCATTGAGCCTTGCAAACATGACCTCACCCCTCTATGCTTGTCTTCTTTGTGCTCGTGGTGTGGCTGTCCCTCGTGCACTACATTGGGAAGCATGCCCCATATTCTGTTCACCTTTCTTTTTGGCCAACATCTACCTCTTTGTGCCTCCTATACTTAACCCACTCATATATAGTATTAAAGCCAAGGAGATACACGATGCCATCAACAATTCCTGGGTCTCAGAAAGGCCAGTGTGAGTTCTGGGGCTAAAAATTCCACTGAGTGGCCAGAAGAAGGGCCTCAATCAGGCCAAAGATTGACAGCACTGAGTACTTGTTATTTCATTCCAAGTTTCCCAGGATCTTTCCCATTACCCTACATAAAATATGTGTGAATTTCCTTCTTGAATATGGGTTAAGAATTGCTAACCTGCTCTTGCTTAAATTATAATGCTTCTTACCAAAGATGAGACCTAGCATTTTGTACCAAAAGCTGCCCAGAGGAAGACTTTGTAGAAGGTCATAATCAATATGCAAAAACTGAAACTAAAGTGAATCTTAAAAAAAACTAAAAAGGAATGATACCTTTAAAAGCACTCAGAACAGAACCTGGCAAAAAAATTGATAAACCCTAGTTCTAATTAACTTAAGAAAATATACCTCTTCCCATGGTTTTTATGACTGCTTCCCTCTATCAAAGGGGTTTCCCCATCATTTCCCTAATTCTGCTTTGTTCAGGTGCTGTGGGCCCTCCCACCACCCTCACCCCCACTGCCACTAGTTGAAATTGCAGTGACCAGAAAGTGCTTCCTGAGAGTTGTTATTCACAGTGCTGGGTCATATACTTGTATATACTAGTAAGCTACCACTTCTCCTACTTGATCCAAGTCTCAACAGAAAACTTGCTGAGTCTAATCAGTAAAATGTTTTGTTTTTTGCCATGGACTCAGGAGTTTAGAATTTCCTGGACCCTAAAAATACAATATTTTATCAAAGGCAATGTGTTTTATTAATCTTCACATTCAAGTACAGTATGTGGCCAAAAGCTTATAGTGTCCACATATTTGCTGAATAATTGAGTGTGAATAACTTCCTGCTAGTAAGAAGAATTGCAAAGAGAGACATAACTTGGAAAAAGAGAGGATCCCAGAAAGAAGGACTACGAGTCAACCAATAAATTTCTCCTAAGTACAGCAGCTAGTGGGAGAAGAAAATGAAACATAATCTGATCTGCTGAAAACTCTCATGGTAATGTTTATGGGTCACTAAGTTTCCATGGAAGATAACTAGGGTTTGGAAAAAAAATTAAGTTCTTGGAGGAATTGATCCATCTTTGATGTTTGCCAAGTCTGCATCCTACATCCATCTAAGGAGTTTCCTCTGAGGGCCTAAGACTCAAGGGAGAAGGACAGGACAGAGCTTGATAATGGCCTGCGGTGCAGCAGATTCTGAGTCAATTAGAAGAGGCTGGGAGAGGAGTGAAAGGTGCTACAGAGATCAGGAAAGAAGCCTTTCAGTCTCTTGGTCTCTCCTCCAGATTTGCCCCTCAGCATATTCTTATTAAAGTCACCACTACACTGTCTCACATCCTTCTCCTATCTGGTCCTCATTATACCTTCCCCAATTTCTTAGCCTCATCCTTCAGTCTGTCTCTCAGCCTTCTCTCCCTCAGTATATTCTGTGATCTGTTTCTCTGTATCTCCTTTTCTCACTGTCTCTCAATTACTTCTTCATTCCTCTGTTCTCTCAGTAGATCCCCAACCTTTCAATGGCACATGACACCTTATGCTGGTATTTAAAGTACTTTAATATTAAAGAGGAGTTTATTTTTGTTTAATAGGAGGGGGTAAAGAATAGGGACAATAGGGATAATTTATAAGAATATAAGAAAATCAGTTTGTTTGTTGTTGTTGTTTTGGTTGAGAGAATAAAAAATATATTTAGCCCTTATTATATCACAAATTTTCTACACGTTTTGTAGGCATGGTATATAAGTTAAAGCATATCCATTCTTTAATTAAAAATATTACCATTATTTTATTGATGAGGAAACAAAGCAAATATTGTATCAGACATTGAGATCCAAATTAGCAAGATATTTTCTGAGCATCTCTCCAGGTACCCCTGTTATTATTATTACTTAATAAACAAATTTGAGCAAGGAACAGGCTTTGTCATTGTTGCTTCTGTTTCATGGCACACTACTTATTAATATGTGCTTTTCCTAATACCTGTTTAGGAATATTGCTATAATAAGTTTACCTGGTTTATAAGTGTTAAATTGTGTTAAGTCTCCAACTTGATTTCTGTGCAGACATATCTTTAAAAATATAGAGATAAAATAAAAGAAAGATAAGAAACAAAGAAGCAGGCATGTCAGTACACTCTAAAGTTAGACTTGAAAGAACTATCAGGGACTAAAGTGAACGTAAGAGCTTTAAATATATAGACTCTCCCCCCAACAAACAAACAAACCTCACAGACACAGACAATAGTATGATAACCATAGGGGAAAAGAGTGGGAGGAGGTAGAACAGGATGAAGGGGAATAAGTAATGATGGAAGGATACTTGACTTTGGGTGGTGAATGCTAAACAATGCAACGTACAGATGATGCATGATAGAATTGTACACTTGAAACCGATATAATTTTATTAACTGACTATCACCCCAGTAAATTCAATAAAAGTTTTAAATAAAAATGTAGAGTGTGTAGGATAAATTAGTGTGACTTTGTAAAAATGAATTCGAGTTCCAGAGGACCTGAGAAGATGCATGAGATATAAGAAGCTTGCAGTGAGTCACAGGTTCCTGAGGGACTGAGTTGGAAGAGAAGCATGAACATGTGGAGAGGATCACATAATGACAATAAGGAGATAAAGCAGATTGGATGAGGCAAATCTGAACACATAACCTCAATTTTCTTTGAAAAATTAAAGATAGCTTTTCTTATAAGAAATGCTCAAAGAGATACAAAAAGACAGGGAGTAACAGAATTTTTGAGAATCTGCACATTCTGTTCAAGTTGAATTATAAGGACTTTTTCTAAGATAAAAATACACCCCTCTATCACTAGCTGGCCAAGAATAAGAGCAGAGAAAACCTTTGTTGAGGATTAATGTCACTGAGGTAAGAAAAAGATGAGATGGGGATGAATTAAAGAGGGGAAAATTGTGAGGGCAGATGTTCATTGAGAGGTCACTGAATTCCAGAGTGTGCAGAGAGCAGAGACTAGCCAGCAGGGGATTAGTATCTAATGAAAGAGGGTGGCTCATGCTTACTGGCCTGCTAATTTTCATTCATACTTCCACCTTTCTCAGAGTAAACAGACTTCTAGAGAATGAGGATGTCCACCATATCAAGTGCCAATTTGAGCTTCTCCACATTCCTGCTGACAGGTTTCCCAGGCCTGGAATGGGCTCACCATTTGATCTCACTGCCCATTTTTGTAGGATACCTCATGGCCCTCTTGGGTAACTCCACCATCTTGCATCTGGTTCGAACTGACCCTTCTCTCCACCAGCCCATGTACTACTTTCTGGCCATCCTGGCTGTGACAGACTTGGGCCTATGCATGTCCAGGCTGCCCTCGGTGCTGGGTGTGCTGTGGTTTGATGCTCGGAAGGTGGGCCTGGTGCCCTGTGTCCTGCAGCAGCACTTCCTACACTCCTTCTCCTTCATGGAGTCCGCTGTGCTCTTTGTTATGGCTCTGGACTGTCTAGTGGCCATCCGATTCCCACTGCGCTATGCATCTGTGCTTACGGGTCCTCGTGTGGCATTGGCTGGGGTTGTGCTGGCTACACGGAGTGTCACCATCACTGCTGCACCTTCGTTGCACCTATTGAACTTTAACTACTGTCGCCGTGGGGCACTGTCCCATGCTTACTGTCTTCATCAGGACATGATCCGCCTGGCCTGCTCTGACACACATTTCAACAGACTCTATGGGTTGTGCATGATCATGCTGACCATGGGCTCTGATGTCCTTTTCATCCTGCTCTCATACACGATCATCCTCTACACCGTGTTAGCCATTGCCTCTGCAAGGGAGAGGCTTAAGGCCCTCAACACCTGTGTCTCCCACCTCCTGGCTGTGCTCTGCTTCTATGTGCCTGTGCTAGGCTTGTCCATTGTGCATAGATTTGGGCAGCACACCTCACCCTTGGTGCACATCCTCATGGGCACTGTCTCTGTGCTTTTCCCACCTCTGATGAACCCGGTTATCTATAGCATCAAGACCCAACAAATCCGCAGGGTCATTCTCAAGGCAGTTTCACTGGGAAAGATACAATGAGACAATGGGGATGTACCGTGTTGTTCAAAATAAGGAATGTCCTCAAGGTTGTTTTTAGAACCCTCCTACAAAAAAGTTTACTTAACTTTTTAGTTTTATCAATCAATTGTACATTATGAATTAACTGTAATGTAAAATCAAATAAAGTTGATGCTTACTACTATTTATGTATACTGTATATATATATATATATATATATATATATATATATATATATAGTCACTACTTCCTAGTATTGAAAATGATGATTATTTGTTACATAAATGTTTGCATGTTCATCATGATTTTTGTATTTTCTCCTCTACTAATCTGTTAGAACTCTAAATCTATAATAATTTTATTATGGATAAATTACTATAATAATATGGAAAGTTGAATTCTCAGTTTACATTCTTTGGATTAACTAATGAGTTTACCACCATTTCTTACGATATAATATTTTTATTATATCAATCCACCAAAGACAACTTCATTGTAGATCTAAGAGAAACTTGTCAATGATGTTTTCCTACCCCCCTACCTTCTCCTGAGAACCTTCCATATTTTTTCAAACTTTTCTTTAATTGTCCAGTTGTAAAAATATATTTGACTTCTGTTATCCATATTTATTCTTCCTTATCTTCACTGATTTTAATGTGTCTTTAAAAATAATAATTACAGCCTTGGCTGGGTAACACTTGGCTGGAGCAACATCCTGTACACCAAAAGATTGAAGGTTTGATTATTGGTCAGGGTACATACCTAAGCTGCAAGCAGCATATGAGAGGCATCTGATCATTGTTTCTCTCTCCATCTCTCTCTCTCTCTCTCTCTCTCTCTCTCTCTCTCTCTCTCTCTCTCTCTTTCTCTCTCTCTCATATCCTCAAGCCATTCTGTTGACTAATAATATTGCCGACCTCTATGTTAGGCAGTAGTGAATTAGATTTTGGAATGCCAATAGTTTCCTAGTGAATTTTTATCAAGCTCATCCATGCCCCCAAATACTGGTATTTTATTCCTGGAAATAAAAAATAATAATTTTTATCTCTAATACTTTGCCTAATTACTTCTTCTTCTTAGTAAACCCTTCCCTTTGCACCCTTCCCTTTTTTTGTGTAACTACTCCCTGTTTATGTGTTTCAGTCAGAGTTCAGTGAGGAAGACAACACCGAATCTTTCATACAAAAGAAATTCAAGAGAATAAATATTTACAAAATTTTAGGAAGGTGTCAAAAGGGAGAAATGAGGAATGTTGGAAGAGTAAGAAGAAAACAAGGTATTATACAGATATGGAAAAGCTGCTTTTACCCTGGGGTATCCCATACCATGATCATAAAGAATCCTGAGAGGCAGGGTGCTTTGGATTCATGATTTCACTGCAATCACAGGTGACTTATAGTCATCAAACTTCCTGACAGTCCAAATGCCCAACAGTAAATGAGCAGATAAGAAAGCCATGATACATTTTCACAATAGAACGTTGCTAGGCCATAAAAAAGGAGGAAATTTTATCCTTTGTGACAGCATGGATGGACCTAGAGAACATTATGCTAAGTGAAATAAGTCAGTTAGAGAAAAACAAGTATCATAGGATTTGACTCATATGTGGAATCTAATGAACAAAATTAACTAACAAAATAGAAACAGACTCATAGAGAGCAAAGCTGACAGCTATCAGGAGGTAGAGTGGGGAGAGACAGAGACAGTGAAATAGGTGAAGGCATTAAGCAAAGTATTAAACAACAACTCATAGACACAGACAACAGTACAGTGATTAAAAGGCGGGGGGGATGTAGGAAGGGGTAAAGGGGAGATAAATGGTGATGGAAGCAGATTTGACTCTGGATGGTGAAGACACAATACAATATACAGGTGATTTATTATAGAATTGTACACCTGAAATCTAGATAATTTTATTAATCAATATCATTCCAATAAATTCAATAGAATTTTTTTTTAATCCTGACAGAGCACAAAATAAAAAACTTCTCTCTTCCTGCAACCTTCTGATCTCTGCCAATGTTTCTCATTGATAAAACTTACTAGGAAGACAGCTAGCAGAGGATTATGAGAAATGCAGTTTGTAGCCTAACTTTGCTCATCAGTTCTAAGCAGACCATTGAAGGGCAGGATGGGTCTCAATGCCAACAAATAAAGAGAAAGCATATCATATTGTATTTTAGGCCTGGTTGATGAAAGCATGACAAAGTATGCAGATAATGTTTTAGTGAGTTGTACACTTGAAATGTGTATGGTTTTATTAACCAATGTCATTCCAATAAATTTAATTTAAAAATTTTAGCTAGTCCTGGCTTGATTAGAATGTTGTCCAGATAAGTGAAGGTTGTGGGTTTGATCCCTGGGTCAGGCCATATACAAGGCGCAACCAGTGAATACATAAATAAGTGGAACAACAAATTGATTTCTCTCTCTAATCAATAAATTAAAAATCACTTAAAATTTAATGCTAAAATGGCTTATTGACTCCAAGATGATTTTAAATCTGCCTGCTATAGTTTCTTGTGTGTGCCATTATGTTCCTACTAAAATCTTTAGCAAAAATGGATCACAATTGCTTGATTTTTGCTTGTTATGCTCACTGGATCATTAGCTTCATGAGGGCAGGAACCACACTATCTTGCTTTCCATTGCAAAATCAGCAGAGGATTTAGTCTATAAAGTGAAATTAAAACCACATTTCACATGTTGACCAGTAGATCCATAGAAAATAAGGCAAAATTTGGGGCTGTATATGAAGGTGATCTTCAGTAGACTGTCACTTGTCAAAATTTTACGCTTCTCATGGATATTAGTTGAATTATGAAAAGCTGCCCTTGGAAATGGTGATTCAATATGGCTTGCTCTTGAATGTCAAAGTTCTCTAATGGTCAAGTTTTGAGCTTAACTGAGAAATGTAACTTCGTGAGTCATCAGCAGATAACTGGTATTTAAGTTAGTGAAAATGGAAATAGCATGTAGGGAAAGTAAGTTAAAAAAAATGAGATGTTTCTGAACAGAGTGCTGAAAGACCACAGAAGTTACAGTCCAGTTAGAAGAGGGAAATTTAGCCAAGAAGATTAGAGTAGAAGTGAATGAAATAAAAATAATGGAATAAGAATATTAGGTCTTCAAACCCATGTGAGGACAGTAATTACAAAAGTTTGAAAGAGGTTTTTCTGGTTTTTATTTCACAGGTAAAGAGCTTGAAAGTTGTCACTTTATTCTAAGAAGTAAGTAACTGGACAGACTGAAAAAAATGAACAACTCTTCCAGTATTCATAAGAGAGAATCGAATGCTGCCCCCACGAGTAGAGAGCTAGACAGGTGAATGCAGGTCACCAGAGCTTATGAGAACCGAGACTCTTGAGACCAGAATAACAATCCAATTTTGTTAATTGCTTCAATTTTTATTTCAACATGTAATTAATGCAATAATAATACACTAGTAGTTTAATTATAATTTTTATTACCATTGTCAGAATAAGATAGTATGATTTTAAATTTGCTAATCCTAAAACCCAGGTTCTTTACCCACAAAATCAGGATATCCACAAAGCACATAACACCTTAATAGCATTGGCAAATATTTTTAAGAACTGTCACTTAAATAAGCATTATTAAGAATATGAAAATAACAGCTAGACTTCTGAAATATGATGATTGGAAAGCAGCCAGAGGAATAAAATAAGTTCAAAGAACTTGCTATTGTGAAATATTTGCTTCAGCTCTTTACCTAGTCTTTCATCCATGACATTCTTATCCTCTTTTGATTTCCATTTACAAAGCACATGTTCTAATTTTTGTTTACATAAAGTAGGAAGATATACTTAGGACAGGACTCTAAGCTGAAGCTAAATCATAAATGTTGGACACATATAAGCTGTTATTAAACAGAGACCACTTAATCATTGTTTAATTTCAGGGAAAATAGAATGGAATCCTTCTCAGGGGAATAGGAAACCTTAACCTCTAAGTATGTATTGGAAAACCTGAGTGCTGAGAGCACATATTCAATTTTGCCAAAAGACTTCCTCATGCAGATGTAGTTGCTAAGTTATCAACTTTACATTTAAGGTAGAATGTCTCAAAATGACACACAGAAATAAAGGCAATGAGAAGTATGATACTTCCCTCACCTAAATGAGTCTAGGTTGCTAAAATACAGGGACATTTCCCTGGCAACCAACTAGGTTAGGGATCCTACTCATAAGCCTTTAGAATGTGACATGATCAAGGACACTGCCTTGAATGTCATACAGAGTTAGACTTTTAATTTTTTTAGTGGTAATTCAGAACACAGGAGAAATTGAGCAGCTAAAAATGAAAGAATTACTGTGGCTACTCTGGCTACAAAAATCTGAGCTCGATATGGGGATTCTACTTCAAGGGAGGCTGGGCAAGATCACTATATATGGAGAATGCAGTTGGGACAATACTGATGGCTGAGAGGAACTCTAGCAGTCAGTGGCATGTCAAAAAAATAATAAAAAATCAAAGGTGGTTTCCAGGATCAAGGGCAAGAATTAAAAACCAAGGGTTAATATTGAAGGAAACTGGAAATGATTTATTTGGCAGTGGAATTCTGCTTGTGATGAAGTACACCTACCCTGTTTCCCCGAAAATAAGACAGTGTCTTATATTAATTTTTTCTCCCAAAGTTGCGCTAGGTCTTATTTTTGGAGGATGTCTTATTTTCGGGGAAACACGGTAGATGATATTTTGAGTGCCTACTATTTTTGAAAATTTGTTTAACTAAGTTTTCTCATTTAGTTTTTTTGCCCTTGAAGCACATACAATTATTCTTATTTTTAAGGAGAGAAAATAGGTTTAGAGGCCATTTACACATTCACGATGAACAAGTAAAATTAAAGAGAAAAAAAGGCAGTGAAATCACATGCCTTGACTTTAAGTTCTCTGGGTAATTCAGGAAAAGTCAATGCAGGGTGCAACATGACCCACACTCTGAGCTAAGGTGGAGTAGTGAATGAGGTCTCTGCTTTCTCAGAGACCGAACATCAGGG